AAAATACTGGGTTGTCCGAGGACACATATTACTTAAGTTACATTTTCGCAATGTCGTCTAGTTCCATTGTATAATTTATTTATTTATATCAAATGGCAGGCATTTTGATAGTTATCATTAGCCCTTTAGTTGACTTCAGGCTTCACAGAGGGGAAGTAACATCAAAGTGAAAAAGAGTCAAGAGGGAGGGAGGAACAGAAGAGTGTTTCAGAGATGTAAGAGACAGACACCAAGGTAGAAAAAAGGTGAGGTGAGTACTGTGGAAATAGTCGAATATGGCATAGAGTGAGGTGATGGTAGTTTGAAGTTAGAAGCCAACTGCCAGTTCCGAGACCACGTGGAGTTAAGTCTAACGCACATCCCAGTTCTATCGTATAATTATTATTTGCATTATAGTGTGTGCATTAGCAACATGTTGTAATTAAACGTCATTATTTAACCGGAGCTTAAAATAATCACAAAAGTATCATATCACAGTATTCTGTATGACTATCCTTTTCTATTTACTTATCTACCTATTAGATATGTGTAAATATTGAATTGAATTTGCACTTAACCCTACAATCACGGATTTTCGATTCCTCTTATCGACTAAAGGAGGCTGTCTTTTTTTCATCTGGCCCAAATTACTCACGCCCAACGCAAGGGAACGTACCGTGATGTATTGATTATTACCGACATGATCCCGGTGGCAGCAGCACGCCTTGGTTAAATCACAGCTTACCATATTGGGGGAAGGTAGACGTCATGGACTTGACGTGCCTCATGGGCAGTTTATCATACGACCAGACACTGGAGGACTGAACATTATAAACTGATGCGGAGGATTTAAATTTTTGAGTAAGAAAAACTTGACTTCGGAGAGAGAGAGAGAGTAAGCAAGCATACTCAGCCTATCGTGTGTGTCTGTCTATCAAGCTTTGAGATCACTATTTCGGCTTGAAACAGAAGTGTAAATAGGGGAAATGGACCCCAAGCAAGTGTACAGGTTTAACGCATACGTGCAATTTTTGGATTTGCTCAATAACTAAGTTGTTGTGCATTGCCCCCCCCCCTCCCTAAACGAGGTAGAGAATAACCGAGAATGATTGGATCGAAGATCGCTTCATATCTTATTGTACACAGTAATCTAAAGTGGGACTTTTTGCTTGGTTTCTCTTGCATGGATTAAAGTACTACTTTATTTAGAACTAGTATATCATAAAATCTCCAATTTCTGTTCTTACTTTCTTTTGAATGAAAATTTGGTCAAAGAATGAATCAGATTTTAACCAGGGCTTTCTTTTTGTTCTAAATAAATTCTCAAAATTTAAGTCTTCGTAATTTTCAGAATATTCTACTTGCCACCTTTCCTAGGTAATATCAGATGAACCATTTATCGCATGCTCCACCCGAATTCAAGGTCGATGTTGTTATCTTCTAACCTCATGCGATAATTATTCCCTCCTATTTTCGTCTAAGTATTAAATTAGGGGAGTTTTTTGTAATCATCCTGATTCCCTGCTCAATAGATATCTAACTATCTCACCGGGAATGAAGTATAGTTGTAAGCTCTAGTTAAAAATTGTGCTTTATTTTAGTTCTCATCTCAAAATAGGTAAGTGAAAGTGAGCGTTTGTTTTCAGATTTGATTAAATGGCTCATTTTATCATCATTTATTTACCTATCACTTATTTGCTGCAATCGAAGTTAATTTTTTTCATTCCGATTTAGAAAAGCCATTTCTTTTTATTTAGCTCATAACCAGATAGTCTAATCGGCTTCTGTATGTTGGAAAAGAATGGCTATTTCTCACTCTATTAACTTTTCAAACTGGTAGATTGTAGAAGAGTTTCTTACCCAGTTTTAAAAGCACTTTCCATCCTCCCTTTTCATTTTATTTCAGGATGAAAACGACGATCTCGATGACCTGATGTTGTCCTCAATGATGGTCTCCCAACAGCGCCTCGGTGGTGAACCCAAAATAAAGAAAATCCACATGGAACTGCGGATTTCGAACCAGCAGATGCACCTGCATCCCAGCATTGAGGTCGCTTCTCACGATCTCTTCTCTCAACTCACTGCTTGGCAGAATATCATCCTAAATTTGCCGAGAATTCAGCATTCACGCTATCAAGTAAGAGGCATGAACCTATATACCATTGGTGTCGTACCGGCAAGTCAGAGGTCACTGGGATGGGGCCATCCAGTGGATTTTTAGTAGTTAGGAAAAAGTGGCAGAATGTGATTTTATCAACCGCAAGAAAAATCAGAATGACTTTCGAGTGCCACTTGTAGCTTTAACAGCAGTCTCTTGAAACAAAATACTTCCACTTTTTCGCCCTATCACAAGTAAAGCCATGCTAAATAGTAGAACACAATCCCATTCTTGTATCTGTCCGGTTGAAACATTCAGCCTGTCGTTAATTAAGCAGCGTACGGTTGAATGCTTTCCTCGATCAACTCGGTAATTATTATGTTGGCGTTTCGTATATCTGACTCCTCTTGTCTCACTTTTAGGTTGGTTTAAATGCAGATGAGGATACTCAGCAGCACAATATGAATTTGGTTTCACGACTCGCAAAAGAGAGCAATGTTCTCAGCCATGCCTATGATTCCATTTCAAATATTCTTGAAGAAACCGATGAATATGTAAAGACATGGACTTCCTATCAGGCTCTCTGGGATCTACAACTTGATCAAGTCTACAATCGTATTGGAAACAACCTTGAGGTATGTCATTTCCGCTTAGTGCAATTTGTCCTCCACGGAATGTTACCTGGTTTTGTTTGTTACTAACAATTTTGGTTGTAGGTTTGGATGAATGTACTAGATGAAATTAAGTTGATGCGAAAACACTTTGATGTCTCGGAGTCCAAAAAATCATTTGGTCCAATCCTTATTGACTTTGAGAAAGTTCAGTCTACAGTAACCATGAAATACGATACCTGGCACAAGGAAATCCTCAACAAATTTGGTAGCAATTTGGGCAATGAGATGCAAGACTTCTACAAACAGATGTCCGAAGCTCGAGGGGAATTGGAGAGGCGTTCAATTGATTCTAAGGCTACCAGTGATGCTGTGAACACCATCACCTACACCCAGTCTCTGAAGCGCAATTTGAAGCAGTGGGAGAAACAAGTGAACCTCTACAAATCTGGACAGAATATCCTTCTACGAGATCGCTTCCAATTCCCTAATAATTGGCGAGATTCAGAGAATATCCAGGGTGAATGGAGCGCCTTCCAGGAGATTCTTCGGCGCAAGGAGTCTAGTATTTCCACTGAGGTTGCAAGCCTTCAAATAAAGATTGTCGCAGAAGATAAGACTATTGAAGGCAAGACAGGAGAATTGTTGAACAGTTGGCACAAGGAGAAGCCTATTCAGGGTGATATGAAGCCAGATGAGGCAGTGAAGGCCCTCACTATTCTTGAGGGTCAATTTTTGCGGCTGAAGGAGGAAAGAGCTAATATTCAACGCGCTAAAGAAGCTTTAGAGCTTACTGAGGAAGGTGTTCTTCCGCAAAGTGAAGAGAAGGTCAACGTCGCTCTGGAGGAACTTCAGGTAAATGACTTTAAAAATCATTATGTTCCCATAAATTTCTTTCATTTTCGTCTTAATTTATCATTGTATCTACTCTCTAACAAAGAGTACATCTAGAAGCTTATGGTCTTTAGAATATTAGGAGGAAGTAATGGGTTACTACTGTTATTTTTTACAGCCTGGCATGTGGAAATAGTACTAGGAAGTATGTTTCATTCATTTCTAACCCGAAACTCCCTAAGTTCTATTGGACCGAAATTATCTGGAATAAAATTGTGGGAGTTTATCTTATCGCTACTAGGCGATGTACTCTTTCTCTTATCGTTCAGTTCATGTTATTAGATTCACTTAAACGTTCCCTTGCATCCATACCTACTCCCTTAGTGATTGGGTAAGCATAATCAAGATGGCCTTGAGGAGCCAAGAGAATGATAGTGGGATGCCAATTTCCTTTTAGGCATACTTCACACGTCTCTTCAAACGGTGTCTAATAGGTGAATTTTTCGTTATTTTTTCACACCATTTACTTCTCTTCTTCTCATTAAGAGAACATCACTTGTGAGAACGTATTTAAAGCGCATGATCTCTTCGCTGTTTTAGTATAGTTACTTTGAATATCTCTTATGCACGTATAACTTTTAACCTTGCCTATTTTTGCCTGTAGGATCTTAAAAATGTGTGGATAGAATTGTCTCGCTTCTGGGAGGAGATTGATCAGCTTCGCGAAACACCTTGGCAAACCGTGCAACCACGCAAAATTCGTCAACAGATTGATGAGATGGTGCGGCGATTGAAGGAAGTGCCCGCGAGACTTCGTCATTACGCAGCCTACGAACACATTCGTAAAACTGTCCAGAATTTCGCCAAGGTCAACCCTATTGTCATTGACTTAAAATCAGAGGCTCTGAAGGAGCGTCATTGGCGTGCACTCATTCGCAAGCTGAATGTTAACTGGGTCATGACTGAACTCACTCTTGGTCAGTTGTGGGATATAGACTTACAGAAGAATGAAACCATCATTCGAGATGTATTCCTTGTTGCTCAGGGTGAGAAGGCTCTGGAAGAATTCATGAAACAAGTGACGGAAGTTTGGAAAACCTATGAACTTGATTTGGTGGTCTATCAAAATCGTTGTCGTCTTATTCGTGGTTGGGATGATCTCTTTAACAAAGTGAAGGAACATATAAATAGCGTATCTGCCATGAAGCTATCCCCCTATTTTAAACAATTCGAAGAAGAAGCTTTAACTTGGGAAGACAGGCTTAATCGAATTAATGCTCTCTTTGATGTGTGGATTGATGTTCAGAGAAGATGGGTTTACCTGGATGGAATCTTCTCTGGTTCGGCTGATATCAAAACACTGCTTGCTCAGGAATCTCAACGCTTCTCAAATGTTAGTACTGAGTTCCTTGGTCTGCTAAAAAAGGTTTCCAAGTCTCCTCTTGTTATGGATGTTCTCAATATCCCTAATGTTCAACGACAACTTGAGAGGCTTGCTGATCTACTCTCAAAGATTCAAAGGTCTCTTGGTGAATATCTCGAGAGACAGAGATCTTCATTCCCAAGGTTAATGAATATATTCTTTTACCTTTTATAAATCGATCAAAGATATTTTCTAATTCGATGAATTTAATTGCAGATTCTATTTCGTCGGTGATGAAGATTTGCTTGAAATAATTGGTAATAGCAAGAACATTCCTCGACTGCAAAAGCACTTCAAAAAGATGTTTGCTGGTGTTAATGCAATAAAGCTAAACGAAGAATGCACAGAAGTTCTCGGTTTGGTCTCAAAGGAAGGTGAAGTAGTCGATTTCGTACACAAGGTCTCAATCAAAGATAACCCCACAATCAATGATTGGCTAACATTGCTGGAAAAGGAAATGCGGATCACTCTTGCAACCTACCTTGCCAGTGCTGTTACCGAATTACAAGTATGCACCCCTTCTTTATCTTGGTTCTGCAAAAAATCTATCTTCATGTATGCAAAATATAGTGTGTTTAGTACAATTGGCTATGCCTTTATGGCAATGCCCCTTTAGTGACCACGCTCCATCATCTGAATTGGGGGTGCTACTTAAACCTTTTCAGTAACTATTGCATGCTTAAAGTATATATGCCATTTGCTGTTTATTTCCCTTCATTTATTGCTTAGAAACTTCGGTCAGCGTCCACACTGGAATCGAACGGATTTCTCGCATGGCTAGACAAGTATCAAGCTCAGTTGGTAGTCCTTGCAGCTCAAATCTGCTGGTCAGAGTCGGTCGATGCGGCATTGAGTAGTGGCAAATCTGAGGTATCTCTGGCAGCTTGTTTGAGTTCCGTAGAAGCAATGCTCACACTTTTAGCTGACACTGTACTCAGTGAACAACCACCTGTTCGTAGACGTAAACTTGAACATCTAATCATTGAACATGTTCATCAGCGAGATGTGCTCAGATCACTCGTTAAAACTGGTGTCAAATCGTCACAGTCTTTCGCTTGGCTATCTCAAATGCGCTTCTACTTCGATCCGAAGCAATCTGACCCTCTGGCCCAAGTGTCAATCCATATGGCTAATGCCAAGTTTGCCTATGGTTTTGAGTACCTCGGTGTAATGGACCGTCTTGTCCAAACTCCTCTTACTGACCGATGCTACTTGACAATGACCCAGGCTTTGGAGGCCCGTTTGGGTGGATCACCATTTGGCCCAGCTGGTACCGGTAAGACCGAATCTGTGAAAGCTCTTGGTATGCAGTTGGGTCGTTTCGTGTTGGTGTTTAACTGTGATGAGACATTCGACTTTCATGCTATGGGTAGAATCTTTGTGGGTCTGTGCCAAGTTGGTGCTTGGGGCTGTTTCGATGAATTTAATCGTCTTGAGGAGAGAATGCTTTCTGCTGTATCCCAACAAATTCAAGGCATTCAAGAGGCGTTGAGAGACCAGCTGGCCGGAAAAGATGTAACTGTGGAATTGTTAGGAAAGAATGTAAGTTCTAATATGATTCCTTCAAACATTTTTGTTTACGATTCCACTCATTTCTTGGGTTATATTTAGCTTTCTGTAAATCCTGATATGGCAATTTTCATCACAATGAACCCCGGCTACGCTGGTCGTTCCAACTTGCCCGATAACTTGAAGAAATTGTTCCGTTCATTGGCTATGACTCAACCAGATCGTCAATTGATTGCTCAAGTTATGCTCTACTCACAGGTTTGTCCTTTCAAATGTCTATTAATTCAAAACATTATAGTTTTTTTTCAATTGGTATTTGTTTTCTTAGGGCTTCCGCACGGCAGAATTGTTGTCGAACAAGATAGTACCTCTGTTCAAATTGTGCGATGAACAACTTTCACCTCAGACTCATTATGACTTTGGCCTTCGTGCACTAAAATCTGTTCTTGTCTCAGCTGGTAATGTGAAGCGTGATCGTATTAAACGCATTAAGGATGCACTTCAAGCTAAGAATGAAGAAGTAAGCTCCATGTCCCTTGTAATCTTAACTATTCTATCATTTCGATTCGCTTAAGCCTCATTTGCTTTACATAGATCAATGAAGCCAAAATTGCAGAAAACCTCCCAGAGCAAGAAATTCTCATTCAGTCGATTATGGAAACCATGGTACCGAAGCTTGTTGCCCAGGATATCCCATTGCTCTATTCCTTGTTGAAGGACGTCTTCCCAGGTGTGGACTATCACGCCTCACCAATGGAAGATCTGCGTCGTGAATTGAAACGTGTATGTGAAGAGATCTTCCTTGTGTACAGCGATGACAAGTCAGAAAGCAGTGTTGGTGGTGCCCTATGGGTTGAAAAGGTTCTCCAACTTTATCAGATCACTTGCATTCATCATGGTCTCATGATGGTTGGTCCGAGTGGTAGTGGAAAATCGATGGCTTGGCGGGCTCTTCTCAAAGCTCTCGAACGTGTCGAAGGTGTTGAAGGTGTCGCTCATGTTATTGATCCAAAATCTATCAGCAAGGATTCTCTTTATGGTTACCTCGATCCTAACACTCGTGAATGGACTGATGGTCTGTTCACACACACTCTCAGAAAGTATACTTCTTTCCATTCAATCCGTAATATCATTTTAGTGGCTCTACTAAATGTTTGTTTGCTTGTTTTAGGATCATCGATAGCATCCGCGGTGAATCGCACAAGCGTCAGTGGATCATTTTCGATGGTGATGTTGATCCAGAATGGGTTGAGAACTTGAACTCTGTACTAGATGATAACAAACTGCTCACCTTGCCGAACGGTGAACGTTTAGGCATTCCACCAAATGTGAGAATCATGTTTGAAGTTCAAGACTTGCGTTACGCCACTTTGGCCACTGTTTCCCGTTGTGGTATGGTCTGGTTCTCTGAGGATGTTGTCTCTCCCGAAATGGTTATGACTAATTTCCTTCGCTACCTGCAAAACGTTCCAATTGATGAAGACGAAGATGCTGATTTAAGCTTCACTAGTCCTGCTACAATTTCGACGACAGCAACCGGTGATCAGGTTAAATCTCCTGTTGATGGTGGCCAAACATTCGTCAGTCCTACTCTACAGACTCAACGTGTCATTGCAAATATGTTTGTACCTCATTTCGCCGGTTCCGGACTTGTATCACGCTGTCTAGAGTTTGCTAAGGACCTTGATCACGTAATGGACTTTACTCAGCTTCGGGCACTTACTAGTCTATTCTCACTCTTGAAACAGACTGTTAGAGTTGTTCTCATGCACAATGCTACTCATACGGACTTCCCAATGCCAATTGAACAAATGGAGTCCTACGTAAGCAAGTCTCTCATAAATGCAATTATCTGGGCTTTAGCTGGTGATGGTCCTGCTAATGTACGCATGCAAATGAGCGATTTCGTTCGTCAAGCTACCACCATTCCACTTCCACCTCCTGGTGCACCGATTATTGACTATGAGGTCACTCTAGCTGGTGAATGGCAACCATGGGTTAACAAGGTGCCTGTCGTTGAGGTGGAGTCTCATAAAATCGATACTATGGATGTTGTTGTGCCTACACTTGATACTGTTAGACATGAAGCTCTACTCTATACCTGGCTGGCTGAGCATAGACCAATGGTCCTGTGCGGTCCCCCGGGGTCTGGTAAAACGATGACTCTCTTCAGTGCTCTTAGAAGCCTTCCTGATATGGAAGTGGTTGGATTGAACTTCTCTAGTGCAACTACACCCGAATTAATGCTCAAAACGTTTGATCAATACTGTGAATACCGCAAAACTCCTAATGGTCTGGTTCTCGCACCTCAACAAATCAACAAATGGCTCGTATTCTTCTGTGATGAAATCAACTTGCCAAATGAAGACAAGTATGGTACTCAACGTGTCATCAGTTTCCTCAGACAAATGCTCGAACATTCTGGTTTCTATCAAACAACCGACATGCAATGGGTGCGTTTTGAGCGCATTCAATTTGTTGGTGCTTGCAACCCTCCTACAGATCCTGGGAGAAAGCCCCTCTCGCATCGTTTCTTGCGTCATGTACCTGTTATCTATGTAGACTATCCTGGAGAGACATCACTCAAACAGATCTACGGCACTTTCAACCGTGCTATGCTTAGAATGTTACCATCTCTCCGTCCACAAGCTGATTCACTCACTAACGCTATGGTTGACTTTTATCTTCGTTCTCAAAATAGATTCACTATTGACATGCAGCCACATTACATCTACAGTCCTCGTGAACTGACACGATGGGTGCGTGGTATTCACGAAGCTCTCAAGCCACTGGAATCGCTTTCAGTTGAAGGTCTAGTACGCATATGGGCTCATGAGGCTCTGCGTCTCTTCCAAGATCGTTTGATTGAAGACAGTGAGCGTTTGTGGACGGATCAAAATATTGATGAGGTCGCAACCACTTACTTCCCGCTTATCGATCGTGTTGCTGCTCTTCAACGTCCAATTCTATTTAGTAATTGGCTCTCGAAAGATTACGTCGCTGTTGATCAAGAGGTTCTTCGCGAGCATGTTAAAGCTCGTCTTAAGGTCTTCTACGAAGAAGAACTTGATGTTCCTTTGGTTCTCTTTAATCAAGTACTGGATCATGTTCTCAGAATTGACAGAGTTTTCCGGCAGTCTCAAGGTCATCTTCTATTGATTGGCATCAGTGGTGCTGGCAAAACCACCCTCTCTAGGTTTGTCTCGTGGATGAACGGTCTTTCCGTGTTCCAGGTAAAGGTACATAACAAGTACACCGCAGAAGACTTTGATGAGGACTTAAGAAATGTCCTCCGTCGAGCTGGTTGTAAGGGTGAGAAGATTACCTTCATTATGGATGAATCTAACGTAATGGACTCAAGTTTCCTTGAAAGAATGAATACTCTGCTCGCAAATGGTGAAGTTCCCGGTTTGTTCGAAGGTGATGAATTTGCAGCCCTAATGACACAATGTAAAGAAGGCGCTACCAGAGAGGGCCTGATGGTTGATTCGCAAGAAGAACTCTACAAATGGTTTACTAATCAAATCTGTCGAAATCTTCACGTGGTCTTTACCATGAATCCATCTTCCGACGGTCTTAAGGACAAGGCAGCTACATCTCCTGCCCTGTTCAACAGATGTGTCCTCAATTGGTTTGGTGACTGGTCTCTTGAAGCCTACTTCCATGTAGGTAAAGAATTTACTGAGAAGCTGGATCTTGAACGTCCAGACTACCATGTTCCAGAAGTGATTCCTTACGTTGCTGAAGGTTTATTGCCTTGTGTACCAACCTACCGCGATATGGTAGTTAATGCCTTTGTATTTGTCCACCAATCTCTTCAACGTGCTAATGAACGCTTGCAGAAACGCGGTGGCCGAACAATGGCCATTACACCTCGCCACTTCCTCGATTTCATTAGCCATTATGTCAAACTGATCGGAGAAAAGAGATCTAATCTAGAAGAGCAACAAGTCCACTTGCATGTTGGTCTGCAGAAGATTAAGGAAACAGTGGAGCAAGTTGAAGTGATGCAAAAGTCCCTGACAAAGAAGAGCAAGGAGCTCGAGGAAATGAATGATGCCGCTAACGCTAAGCTTAAACAGATGGTTAAAGACCAACAAGAGGCTGAACAGAAGAAGACTACTAGCCAGAGCTTACAAGTCGAATTGGAGAAGCAACGTGAATACATCAAAGAAAAGAGAGCTTTGGTCATGGAGGAGCTTAGTCAAGTCGAACCGGCTGTTAACGATGCCAAACAAGGTATACTTGCTTGATATTTCACCAATCTTGGTTATATACTTACACTACTTCAAACCTAAAAAATTGAGTGCGTGTGTTCTTGTTTAATTCATAGCTGTTGAGGGTATTCGCAAAAAGGATATTCAGGAAATAAAGGCTATGCGTAATCCTCCGCCTGCGGTTAAGATGGCTCTCGAAGCCATCTGTCTTCTGCTGGGTGAGAAATCGACTGATTGGCGTCAGATTTTGACGGCCATTGTCAAGGATTCCTTTGTACCAAGCATTCTCAACTTTGATACTGAAGATATCACGTTAGTTTTCTTTTTACCTTGGTGTTCTTTGTGTTTACTCTACTAGCTAGTTAATGGCAATTTGATTTTAACATTTTAGTGATTCAATTCGTGAGACAATGAAGAAAAAGTACATAGAAAATCCTGATTTTAACTATGAGAAAGTTAATCGCGCTTCTACCGCTTGTGGACCTATGGTTAAATGGGCTATTGCTCAGGTGAGTTGAATCACTTTTGAGTCGTCTCTATCAATTTCTCCATTTTATCTTGCACTTTTCACTGTTTTTTTTTCACAGATTGGCTACGCAGATATCCTAAAGAAAGTTGAGCCCCTTCGTGATGAACTCAAAGCCCTCGAAGAAGCAGCCAAAGCTAATGAAAAGAAGGCTGAAGATGTTGAAGGTACAATCGCAGCACTTGAGAAATCCATCGCTAAATATAAGGATGAGTACGCTGTTTTGATTAGTCAAGCTCAGTCTATCAAGGCTGATTTGGCCTCTGTCGAAGCTAAGGTCTGTATTTGAGCTTATTAATTCCCTATCAACTTAATGTCATTGGTATACACGCAAACGCTTTTTATCTTTAGGTTGAACGGTCGGTTGCGTTGATTGAATCTCTGAGCAGTGAACGAACTCGTTGGGAGTCTGGTTCAGAAACTTTCCGATCCCAAATGGCCACTATTATCGGAGATTGTCTTCTCTCCTCTGCCTTCATGGCCTATGCTGGCTACTTTGACCAGAGCCTCCGTCTCAGTCTTGTCTCTTCGTGGGCACTTCACTTGAAGAATGCTGGAATTCAATTCAGACCTGATTTAGCCCGTGCCGAATACCTCTCTACACCAGATGAGCGACTGCGTTGGCAGGCTAGTGCTCTACCGAACGATGAACTTAGTGTTGAAAATGCAATCATTCTTCATAGGTTCAACCGCTATCCTCTTATTATTGATCCCAGTGGGCAGGCTATTGAGTTCATTATGGAGGAGTTCAAGGCCCGGAAGATTGCCAAGACCTCCTTCTTAGACGAATCCTTCAGAAAGACTCTCGAGTCCTCTTTGCGTTTCGGCACACCGCTCCTTGTGCAAGATGTCGAATCCTACGATCCTATTCTCAATCCCGTGCTCAATCGCGAAGTCAGACGTACAGGAGGTCGTACACTTATCACTCTTGGTGATCAGGATATTGATCTGTCGCCTACCTTCACCATTTTCCTGTCTACTCGTGATCCTTCAGTTGACTTTGCTCCTGATATCTGTTCAAGAGTCACTTTTGTTAATTTCACTGTCACTCATAGCAGTCTACAGAGTCAGTGCCTGAATGCTGTTCTCAAAGCTGAGAGGCCTGATGTTGATAGCAAGAGATCTGACTTGCTGAAGATGCAGGGTGAATTCCAACTTCGGTTGCGTCATTTGGAGAACGATTTATTGCAGGCTCTCAATGCTGCCAAGGCAAGTGTTTTTACAATTAACAATTAGCACACCATTGTGTTATGACGTTTAACATAATAATTAAAGGTTATTATTATTTTGCTTTTAGGGCAACTTGCTCGACGATGATAAGATCATAACGAATTTAGAAACACTGAAAAAGGAAGCTGGTGAAGTTGCTAAGAAGGTTGAAGAAACTGACGCTATCATGACGGAAGTTGACAACGTTTCACAACAATACGTGCCTCTATCTCAAGCTTGCTCAGGCATTTACTTCACACTGGATGCACTCAATCAAGTCTATTTCCTCTACCAATATTCACTTCACTTCCTTCTCTCAATTTTCAACTGTGTTCTTACCCAGAATGATAATCTTAAAGGAGTCAGTGACAGCAAAGCTCGTTTGGATATCATCACTAAAGATCTTTTCCAAGTTACCTATAATCGTGTTGCTCGTGGTATGCTTCATAGTGATCAGATCACATTTGCTGCCCTTCTTGCTCGTATCTTCCTCAAGGGGAAAGTTACCGCTGGTATGACCTATGAATCCGAATTCTCTGTCTTCCTTCATGGACATGATGGTTCAAGTTTGCTGAATACCAAGAACTTGCCTGACATCAAAGGCCTTAGTGTCGAGCAGAGGGCCGGTATTAGTAGACTACAGAGTCAGTTGCCAGCCTTTAAAAACGTTGAAGCAGCTATTGCTAATGACCCGAAATTCCATGAATGGCTTGAGGCTGTTTCACCGGAAACTGGAGTTCCGACACTTTGGGAACTGCCTTCTGCTGAAGCTAACCCTATTGGAACAGCTATTTACAGTCTCTTACTTATTCAAGCACTCAGACCAGATCGTCTCTTGGCTTGTGCTCACATTTTAGTGGGAGCCGTATTTGGTCAAGCATTCATGGACACTGCTCGTTCTAATCTTGATTTGGGACCAATTGTTGAACAAGAAATCAAGGCTAATATTCCTGTTCTTCTCTGCGCCACTCCAGTGAGTTTTCTCTCTTTTTGTGTTTACCCACTTTATATAATATGACTATTAAACTGAATTTTGCCTTTTTAGGGATTTGATCCCAGCGGTCGCGTAGAGGATCTAGCAAGTGATTTGAAGAAAACCCTAACTGGCATTGCTATTGGTTCAGCTGAAGGCTTCTCACAAGCTGAAAAGGCGATCAACACTGCTGCTAAACAGGGCAAATGGGTTATGCTCAAGAACGTTCATCTCGCTCCATCTTGGCTTGTTCAATTGGAAAAGAAGTTGCACTCTTTCCAAGCGCATCCAAACTTCCGTCTCTTCCTCACTATGGAAATCAACCCGAAGTTGCCTGTTAACCTCCTTCGTTCTGGGCGAGTGTTTGTTTTCGAACCACCACCAGGTATCAAGGCCAGCCTTCTGCGTACTTTCGCGAATATTTCAGCAACAAGAATGTCTCGTGCTCCAGCTGAGAGATCTCGTTTATATTTCCTGCTAGCTTGGTTCAATGCGGTTGTTCAAGAACGTCTTCGGTATGTGCCTTTGGGATGGACCAAACGGTACGAGTTCAATGAATCCGATCTCAAGTCTACTTGTGATACAATCGATTCTTGGGTGGACAATGCTAGCAAAGGGCGCTCCAATTTACCTCCTGAACAAATCCCCTGGACCGCTATTCGCCAGCTCATGTCTAAATGTATCTACGGTGGTCGTATTGATAACGATTTCGACCAGACCCTACTCGATACTTTCTTATCACGTTTATTTACTGAAAAAAGTTTTGATCACGACTTTGTCCTAGTCAATGATGTTAACGGTCAGGCTGGAAAGAATATCCTCATCCCAGAAGGAACTTCACGTGAAGAATTAATCACTTGGACCAAGAAGTTACCCTCAAATCAGACTCCCTCTTGGCTCGGATTGCCTAACAATGCTGAGAAGGTGCTGCTAACTAATATGGGTAAGTTATTGTCATCACTTTTCCATTTATATACCAAGCGTGGTAGCTTTGGAATTTGAATGCTAACCACTTTACGATTATCTCTTTACGCGAACAACCTATAGCTCGAAACTTCCAGGCGAATCTGCTTCGATTTATCACAATTGAAGCTGAAGACGCCAATGAGAAAGGTATTTTTCTTCTGTGGGAGATTTGAATTTGCGGTTCCCACCTCATCTTTTGTTCGTGTTCATCGCTCACCTTAATTCTACCACTCTTCGTGTTTAACTTACTACTAAGCTCTCTAAAGCGCCATAAACACCTTTAATTAACCTTCATATGTGTGCTGATTTCGGTTCTTTTTTTACTCATGGTCATGGTTTGTAATGACAACTGACATTCTCTCAAGGGGTTAATTTAGATGCATTTTTTTCATTTGAAGTTAATCTAACAACCCTAGAGTCTCTATTTTACCCGTGTGGGCATGTCTAATAACTATTGCTTTTCAGGCCAAGAGGTGATTGGGAACCTGCTCAAGATGCAGCAAGCTGTTAGTACGGATGATGTTCTTTCCGCTTCGGAAATGGCTGCTACAACACTTGTCAAGAGAGCTTCTGTGGAGGAAGGAGACACCAGACCTACATGGATGCGTCAATTACAAGCGAGTGCAGATACTTGGAAGTCGCTACTGCCAGAGCGTCTTAGACCACTAGAGCGAACCACGGGGAATATTGCTGATCCCCTCTTCAGGTGCTTTGATAGAGAAATCAACGCTGGTGCTACACTACTGCATACAGTTAGAGATGATCTAACAAATGTGGTCAAGGTATGCAGCTTTCTCATAAAGCCCATTCTGGATTCCATTTGATCAAATAAATGTTTACATTTTTTTATCCCAGGTTTGTTCCGGAACGATAAAGCCAATCAACTATCATCGTGAGTTAATGTCCGACTTGGCGAAGGGTTTGATCCCGGCTTCTTGGCGTTGTTACTACACCGTACCATCAAATCTTACTGTCATTCAATGGATCAACGACTTTGCCTCCCGAATTCGTCAATTGATAGAGATTAGCGAAGCTGCTTCTTTATCTGATCTGAGCAGCTTGCGTGGTTTACGTGTTTGGCTGGGAGGTCTGTTCATGCCAGAAGCTTACATCACAGCTACACGTCAAGTGGTTGCTCAAACTCATGGCTGGGCTCTGGAAGAACTGTTTCTCAACATGGAGTTGGTCAGCGCTTCACAGAAAGATAAACCACCACCGTTGCCTGCTGATGATTGCGCTTTTATGGTCACTGGTCTTCGTTTAATGGGGGCTGAACCCGCTGATACTAAAACTATTCAGCTGTCCAAGACCATCTTCTATGAAATGCCTTTTACTATTCTCAGATGGATTCGGTAAGTCCTTTAGGCCCTCTGCTGCACTAATTTGAGTTGTCAGTGTTTGCTTAGTCAGTGTTTTTTGTGTTTCAGAGTTGTGAAAGAAAAACAAAGTGAAGTAAATCCAGGGGCGGTTAAGCTTCCCATCTACTTGAATGCTTCTCGCTCTGTCCTTCTCTTCACTGTCGATCTGCAGACTAAGGAACAGGGAAGCGAGTTCTGCAAACGTGGTGTTGCTATACTCTCTTCGCCTCTTGGTTAAAGTTATCAACGATTCTGACCCGAATCGCCTCTTTTGATTTTAATCGTGCAACTCATTTTCCTCATCTCAAATTTTAACTTCGTGTGCGCCTCTCTTGTCCAAGCCTTTCCTAACTTTCCCATGCAGTCTTCGTACCTCGGTGTTTGCCTTCTTCTCTCTTCCCATTCTCTGTGCACTCCGGCATTTTTAATCTTTCCTCTTTCAGATAAAAGAAACTGTTTATTTATAGTACTTATTTTTACAATATGTCTATGTCTAGGAAGTAGTAGGTGTTGCAGTAGTTAAACACCACCACGCCTGACAAGTCAGAGTCCACGAAACTAGTGCCAATCTCTGCCAATTTTTGAGAAATCGTCCTAGGAAGTTCAGTTAATTTTAATTGTCTAAGAAATACACATTCAGCCAATGCCGTCAGTGGTCATCAAATCAAAGGATTTAGTGTTCTGTGCTGATTTTGACTGAGGCGTTATTGCTGAATATATATGCAAATGGATATCATTATCCGGTTCATTCCTATTGGTTAGTTAAGATTGCGGTCTTATAAATGTCACTTAGCCTAGCAATAATATGGTTTGCCTTTACTAGGCAGTTAAGAGATCATAAATGAAGGTATTTTGTTGTCATGCGACCAGTTTAAGCTCCCCTAATAGAGTATTGTGTTTGAGAGATCATCTTGGGGAATTATTCGCTGATGTGATCATTCCCAAGCCATCATCAGAAGTATTTACAGCCATCGACTTTGGAGGGCGGGGGGATTGTTATCCTGGAACCGATTTGATGAGATTTTTGCACTTTACTACCTAACTTATCGACTAGTACCGACCAGGAAGGTTAACTTTGGATGTGCACCTATGAGGATCGATCTTGTGATCTTTAATTCTGCAGATGCGCACGTGGTCCACTGCGGCAAGGGACCACGCGCTTAATATTTTGTGTGCAGCGTATCCTAGCATTACTGAAAGGCTCCAGGATATAGAGTACTTTTCATAGAATTCAGTCTTAAGCAAGAGGCTATTGCAGACTGTAAAGGTTCTAAGAGTTGAATGATCGCTACGCCCATGATCTCGAGCTATTCGCAACAGAGTTTCGGTACTTTCTCCTTAAATTCAAAGCAAATTGTGCTTTATTTGTAGCGTAAGCATATTTTCGCAGGATTTAAAGAAGACGTCACCATGGTTTTGGGCTAATAGAGTTGGTCCCATATGCTCATAGAAAGAGATCTTGTCAGTTGCGCTGCTGATGGAGATTAAAAGGCTCTCACGGCCCACTGTTCGAGTGCGCCATGAATGCCGAGTCCCCTCAACCAGTCAATAATCATCAAATGTCATTGTAACGTGGTGTAGCGCAGCGTAGCGCGGGTTTTAATTTAAGTACTTGGCGTTGTGGCATACGCCCTGTGCCCTCGCAACTCCTGAGGCAACATGGCTAGTCTCGTGAACAATTTTATGCAGGAGTTTTACCAGGGTGGATTGTTGGGGTTTAGGCAGGGTTTATGTGAGTAGTGTCCTCTCCCAATGTAATGTTCTACATCGAAACGTGAATGAACGTAGCTGGCAACATCGCACGCTTACTAGGCCAGTTGTAACATTTGAAATTATGAAAGATTTTGATCGAATAATTACATAATAACTGAAATAAAACTATTGAAATGTATTTTCGGGTGCGAAAATAATTAAGTGAAAACATTCAAATTTTAATGTAATATATGGAGAAAGTTTGAGCATTAGGTTTCTAATTGAAAATAAAACATTATTGCTCATAATTCCTGCAAAGGCTAATAAGCGCTAAAATGTCGTATTTTATCTTACCAATAGAAGTTCTGATGGCATTATAGTAGTAAATTAGTAACGACACTATTATTATTTTAAATGGCAGGCTTTATAATATTTATCATTTGACCCTTAGTTGACTTCAGCTTTACCCATTGGGGGGGGGGGGGTACATATATAGCAGTTAACCAAAAGCAGTTCATTATCTGTCTTCTAGCTTCCCAATATCTCTGGGTTTTCGTCGTTGTCTATAGGGCTGGACACCGATTCAGGTTGGTCTTCTCACGACACTGGCATATATAAATGCCACTTTTAAATGCTGGGAATGGAACAACTAGCCCGCTTACGAACTGAGTTCATCACGAATGCCCATCCACCCCTCCCCCCGCCTCCTCCCCTGTTGCTTAGTGGTCACAGAGGCTCGTCGTGAACCAAAAGTAACTATAGTTGTTAACTGATTAATATGTGAAGATAATTTTAAGATCAAGTAACGCACGAGTTTTGAGGTTCGCCTAATTGAAACAAACCACTTCCCAGACTGATCAATAACTCCTCCTTTCATCGTGTGGTAATTGGCCTTACAATTATATATATATATATATATATATATATATATTGAAAAATAATAAATTAATGAATGTGTTGGTACAAGATAAATAAATGTAGATTGGGATGTAAGTAACCGAGTTAGAATAAACAAACGTTTGGCTTCAATTTACTTCAACCTACTTTAGTATCTGAAAAGCCCACACAAAATTAATTGAGTTGGTGTACACGATTCCAGCAGAATGCCAGTTAATGGCTGTTAGGAGGTGATAGATACTTGCCGCATAATAGCCCACCGCATAATTGTTCCATCCACCTTAAAAATGCCAGCCCAGTGGTCTTCACGATAGCTCGTTTTGTTCGTGAATACAAACAATTTATCTTCTTGCTTATGCGTATTTGTATGATCGTGGGAATAACTTTGGAGTTCATTTACCGAGCAAAATTTCGGTCAAAAAAATAATTCCCACTCCACGCAATCGAACTCTTGGGCATGAGTAGAAATGCTAGGCAAACCAAGTCAATATCATTATCGATGCCATTTTATAAAATCATATTTATTGAAACTAATTAATCAAAAAACTTTTGTTTTAAGAGCCAATTTAGATAAGGTGAAGTGAGGATTTTTATATTTCCTTCTTTTGAAAGGCTAAGCTGATAAATCTGCAATGGACGCGAGTCGTGATTGGTTCACTGTTTTATCAAAAGTACTTCATGATACTGTATTGTGTGCCATATGGCATTTTGACGTTGAAAAGAAATTCTTTGCAATGAAAGTCGATTTCTTCAACCAAGGCTCGCATAACCCCGTATTTTTTACTTTTGTTCTTTCGTTAATATAATAAGAGGTTTGTCTGAAGATGCACAAGCTTAAAAGATTGAATTTTAACTTCGCACGTATATTCATGTTTTCATGGAAATTATCATTAAATTAGTATTACTTCCAGCCGAAGTATGGCCAAACTTTTCAAAGTTATTGCCGAGTGGCCAAGTTAAAAACTCCCGGATGAATACGAACATTTAAAGCAATATTGTATTTCTATTCAAAGTAGTAAATACAGGCTATTACCAATAACGACGTATCGAACATTCAATAGATGTCAGCAACTGTCCTAAGTGTTCTCAAGCAGCTTAGGTGAACAAAACATCATGTTCCAGCATATTTTTGGGAAGTTGTTGACGATTCCTTCGATGTGTTTTGCTCAATCGTATCGGAAGCGCTCATTTTTAAACTCTTAGCTGTCATTTTATTTAGTCTGATGGTTCAAATGCTAGAATCACCAACGTCGTATGATTGCTTATGTAATTTCTTCTGTATGTTTTTTTCTCACGATCTTCATTTGTATTTAGTTGGGAGGATAGATGTCTGGTTGATCTCCGTAGACTTCTTAGCAAATACTCGTAAACACGTTAAACATTTTCCAAAGAACAAACCGTATGTGCGTGGTTTCGTGTGAAGTCAGAGACGGAATCTTTAGCTCTAAATTTAGCTAACTTTTTCTTGACAAGACTTTTAGCAATAGCAACTGTCTGTGAATATTTTGTGGTGCACCTTTCAGTTAATGTTGCAAACGATTTACTTCCCAAATAAGTTTCCGCAGTAAAGACTGTTTTTCGAGTGAAGGCAACATTCTTCAGGAACGTATTCGCATCTGTTCTTAAGAAATGATAACGCAACACTGAGCAAATGAACAGTCAAATCAAAATAGCATCTAGACATCTTGTGCCCAGCATAAATGCTAAATATCACTTTCAGTAAGATACAGGAAACGAGATTTTTTATATCTAGATAACATTGTCAATGACTTGAAGATCCAAAACACAATGAAGAAGTAGTAACAGGAAAAAACGATGAGTATTCACCTTACTCACAATTACAGCCCTGCTCAGTCTCCATGCCCATTGTGGGCCAACAGACCCGTTAAAAAAAATCACAAAATGTCGGTCAGCCACCGTATCGTGGTTAATTTCACCTTTTGCTCACAATCCTGAATATCCGCTTTCAGCGTTGCAAGATGCCCAACGCTACCCTGGCCAGATGGAATATTCTTGAAAGTGGGGCGCGGTATCGATCACTTATCGGAGAGAGCGGCTGTGCGTGCGGAGTCCCCCTCTGCTAATCGGCGTTTAATATTCATTCGAAGTTGTGCTTAATGTAGTACTTCATTGACCTTGTCTGCAGTGGGTCAAACTATGCCTGGGGACTCTGTTGGAGACTAGTTGCATTAGGTTTCTAAAACAATAGCCAGTGCTTAGTAACAAGGTGCCTATTTGTGCATCATCTGCTATGATATTGGGGTTCTTTCCTTCCCCCTTTCTCCTTCGCCATTCCTTCATCGTTAACTTCCAATTGTCCAATATGGCCTTTCCCAACTAAGCTCGCTATCTTCTTAATCAGGAAAGGTCTCTGTTTCTCATTTGAATTATTGTTCTTGCAACTAATAACCCCACCTTCTCAATTTACTCTGTTAAGCTCGTAAAATGGCAATTGTTTTCATTGTTTGTAATAGACTAATGGTATGTATTTCTGAACTCAACTCTTATAGAACACTCCAGGTTAGGGGGAATTGAACTCAAAGTGTGAGTGTTTGGGAACGGAAAATAATCTTCAAGGGCGCTCCGTTATGCTACATTCTACGCCATTATTCTCACGATTTTTTGGCTTAGTGCCAGAAAGGAAAAGAACTTCTTTGTTAGTGAGTCAGCAATCATTTATGCACTCACGCCCAAGTGAGCCAATGGTATTTCGCTGCTTTGCGGAATTTTTCCAACTTGCAAAGGCAATATCGACAAAAGACTTGTTTCCCCACCTTACTGTAAGCAGCTATTGTGCTCGGTTAAGGCTAAAAATTTTAAAAGTTATTATGAATTAAGTCGTCATTAACTTCATTAAGGAGGGGTGTGCGATAGACTTACCTCCACGTGGTGCACGCTGGGCAACGTATACTCATACGGCAAAAAGGTCTATTAACTGGCAGTTGACTTCTCACTTCAAACTACCGTCACCTCACTTTATGTCATATTCGACTACTACCACAGTACTCACATCGCCTTTTTTCTACCTTTGTGTCTGTCTCTTTTACATCTCTGAAACACTGTTCTGTTCCCCCCAACCAACTCGACTTTTTTCACTTTGATGCTCCATCCCCTCTGTGAAGCCTGAAGTCAACTAAAGGGCTAATGATAACCATCAAACGCCTGCCATTTGATATAAATAAATAAACACTTCATTAAGGAACCACTTAAAGGGCGAGAAAGATTAATGTAATATGTACTCTAGCTGTTACACATTTATTAACATAATACGATTTTGCATTAAACTTGATATTCAATGTAGGAAAGCTACTGAATTGACGATTAGGGAGTGCGGACTTTGCCTGATCTTAAGAATCGGGTTTTAAAGTATTTACTTAAAGAGTAGTTGACCTTTCAACATGCAGACTACGTTACTCGTGAGCTGCATTTCCGAGCGAATTTGTGTTCATGATATCCAGAGGTTGCTGGTAGGTTGTTGAATAATAATGGTTAGATTTTCCACTGTAAGTCATTCCTCCTTCAAATCATTGAAATAGAAAAAAAGCAGCAGTTGACATTATCTTGACTTAGTAGAGCTGAGATAATATCCCCAACTCACTGAATATAAGTGGATTTGGGGTTTTTGATCTATATCTGACAATAACCGACCCGTTAGACGGTGGTGTGTATGTACGTTCAAGTAGTCCAGATTACATATCTAGTTAAGGAATTCGACGTCGATTATCAATAAATAATTGCACTGTTAATATTCCAGAGAAACATGTAGGCAATATCTGTTTCCTTGAAAATCTCTCTCTCTCTCTATTAACAGTCGATACCAGGAAAATTGAAAGTCAAAAACCTTTGCCAAGGTGTATGCAAGAGATGCCTTTATTCATGAAAGGCATGTTGAGCTTCCACAGATTTTCATCTAACTTCTGTATGTATGCATGTCTCTTAGTACATGAATATATATTTTCCAAAATCACGTGTTACTTGTTAGTAAATTTGCTTGACCTAATAATCGGCGTGTTGCACCACTTGAACCATCAATGAGTGGAATATTTTTGGGACTAAGGTAGGAATATAAAAACGTAGTCTTTATATAAAGCCAAGATAAACAATTGGCTCATCTGAAGTTATAGGTGGCGTCAAAGTTCGATTTCTTGCTTATCATCGATATTCTCAACACTATGAATTATATGGCTCTTAATGCTTGGAAATAGTTCTTACCGTAATTGCAAGCGAAAGCTTCATCTTGAGACATCCTGTCGTAAACGGGTAACCGGGTAAACTTTGCTTATGGTAGATGGTGTCAAGGAATCGAACGATCTTAATAAGTTTTACCTCCATAGTAAGCCTATATTTTGTGAATAAGCATAAATATACTAATAATAATAACAACAATGTTCTATTTCAGTACTTTCACTGAGTAAATAAAATCAAAATGCCACACTTACATTTGAAAAAAACGATAAATATGTTTCCATTGCCTTATTTAATGAAATAATAATTACATTTAAATGGAAATTGAAAGTTGTGTTTTATTTATTTAGAGCCTTTGGAGTGCTTTATTTTGGTGATTTATGAAGACTAATGAGATTTCGTGCCATGGAGGCGGTCGGAACCACTCACACGGACACTTCTCTCGCACGCCTTTGTGATCATACACTGCCATGCTACGGTATTTCAGCTTGAAGGCGCTAATTTGCTCCGTTAACGAGCGTGCACGGCCGGATGCAGGATTGGTGGTGGTGTCAATTTTTATTCGTTAGGGGGTTTACGCACAGAATTACACAATGCGCGTACAATGCGTCAGAGCAGAGATCCGAGATGACGCCCAAACGGCTGCTGCTGCTACGGCTACACAACGAAAGTTTGCACTGGTCTACTCTTAATGTTGCCTCCTCTATGCTAATCCTCCTTCCTCTTCTACCCACCCTCATCTCCACGCCCTCTTTTGTATATGCAGAAACTTCCTCTGATGGATATTTCACTGTGGGAAGAAGAGTAAGTCACTAAATGTCGATTTATTGGTCTCTTTTTTTAAAGATACTTTCTGACGCGAAGTGCGTGAATATATATATATATCGATATCTTTTTTATCGCGTAAATAAATATGCAGAATTAAATGATAAATATGACTTATTTATGGGAAATTCCAATGGTCCTGCTTGCGCTTTTGATTGACAAGGCTTCGCGCTGGGGTAATAGTGGCTTTTGCCAATGCTAAACATTTAGATATCGCTCAGCTTACCAGAGTTAGCAAAATTTAATTAGATTTAATCATAATTTACTTTGTTTTATTTTTCATTACCATAGCACTTTTTTAGCAAGCAAATATGGTCACGCTGATTAGATTATTTATTTAATCTTATTGCCTATGCGAGACTGAAAACTCAAAGGTTAAAGCTCCTTTTAAACAGGGCTTGATCAGGTGGAATTTCTCCATACTTATCTATGACCCTGCATGTCACAATTATTCTTAACTGAGTTTTATATAGGAAAATTGAATTTGATTCACAATGTCTTACAACTTTTAAAACTAAGAACGTGGGCAAGTTCTCCCCCTCTGTTTTATTTTCTTAAAAAAATATGGTTTATTTAGAATTCACTTTCGTAGTGGTCGTCGAAGACATCCGACTCTCTTCATTTTAAGCTTAAATAAGATTGCTAAAGTTAAAATATCGAATAATGGAAATTTCGGATTCTCGTGATTTCAAACCGCATCACAGCCATCACGTTTAACGTATGATGAGACTAAAGCAATTTCGTTAGTGGCATAACACAATCTATACACAATAATATAAAACAATTATTGTCATTCAAATTGCATCTTTCAAAATATTATTTTACTCAAATACAAATATGTTTTTTTTTCAAAATTAATTGTAAAAGCAACAGACCTTCAGTCTAATAATTGGGACTATTTTATCGCATATCTTTTTATAAATGATTAGTCAACAATTTAAATGCCAATTTTCATCTTCTTGAACAATATAAGTGCATATTTGCCTAATTTAATAACTATGAGTGAGAAATTTGCTACCCGAATTTCTTGATCATTTTGATATTAAAACAGTTATTTTTCTTGTGTCTTTTCACCCCGTCCCCCCCCCCTCCCTCCCTCCCTTAGGGTCTTCAGTTTCCCTGCGCCTGGCTTGAACGAGATGGGTTTTTTGATCCACGGAATAATTTTGTCTCAAAAACACCATTTGTGCAGAGCCGGTCGCAGTGTACTGGAAGGGGCCATTGCTATATGAACTGGTTGCCAATTAACTCACCTCACTCAATTACATTTAAGCTTATTGGCATTGATGGTAAGCCCACTCGACTTCCATTTCATATGATTCATCCTTCATGCTTAATTCTATTGTAACTGAAGTCTCATAATCCACTACTGTGCATGCTCTGATATTTTATTGCTCCAATTTCATTATTTAAATCCCTGTTTTCGGAATGGCTTTTTGTCAGCGAATTGCGAAGTTCATCGGCCACTTCATAAATTTTGGCTGTTGGTCATCACTCGAGTAGTACACTTTTCCTAATAGCCACAATACTAACAAATATAATAATAAGTTTAAAAAAACTAATTTCACTGATTTCAGTGGAGTTCACACAAGTTTCAGCATGCATTGATTGGATTTTAACTTAAAATTATCCATGAAATTATTTTAAGTTTCACCAATGCATGCCATCCACGAAATCCCTTGTACCTCAAATCAATAATGCCAACCTGTCAGAATCTGATAGATGGAACTTAACTTAATTAGGTAATAATAACCACTCACTAATGCCATGGAGTCTATGAAGTTTTTCAATTATCCCAACACCTTCTGAGTTTTTTAATGAAAATATCTGCTCGTTTTTTTACCTTAGGGTTTCCTTTGTTTATAATGTAAATAGCGAGATCTAGTTAATAAGGCTTCGATTTTACCCGAACATAAGAGTGATTGGAAGGCGGAGTTGACTATGTTTACGTGAAAGAGTTTGTTGAATATTAGCACTTAGAAGATTTTCAAACCTTGAGTGACTCATCTACTCTGACTTGTTTAAAATAACAATGAAATTAAATGGAACAAATGATTTCTTTTGGTTTCTCTACTCTTTGGTTTCCCCTTTCATTCTCCCAAATTAATGGCTGTGAGACTACAGAGTTAATCAAGCAAAATTATTTAATTCACTTAATGCAGTTTGTGAAAGTAATGCATTTTTTCCCATTTTTATCAAGCCACATGATTAATGTAAAACTGTAGGGGGCAGTTAAAAATTGCCAGAATCCGCCAATAAAAATATTTTTATAAAATTTAAAATTTCAACTCATGACACGAGTTTTCCCGCTCCTCCTTCATAAGCCAAAATACTTCATTAATAAATACTTGAAAAGAGGTCAATAATTACTTGTTGTCAATCAAATAGAGGTTAGTTCGTTTTACCAAATTATCACACTCGTTCTTTTAGCCTTAGATGTAAAATACTTACTAATATGACCTATTCAAAAGTACATTGGACACCTATGCCTTCAATAAAAGTTTAAAAGCGTTTGAACGATTGGGACTGATTAGAGGCTTTAAATTCCATCCTTTTAACTATTATGATGCAGATAAATTGCAGATATTGTCATCTTCAATAAATAATTAGCCTTTGGCGAAAGCGGAAAGTTGGACTTGACCTTTGGGAATAATATAACCAAATTGAATTTATGGGCATATCAATAAAACATTTGAGTGCAGTCTCAGTTACCTAGACCTTCAATAAATCCAGGCTCTCTGTTACAAAATAAATTTTAAATAACATATAGGCATTTTTCCTCGAATTCGCTTTAATCATAATTACCAAAGCTGATGAATATTGCACATATAAACCAAGCAAATTGAAGAAGCATTTCACGTTTCTAGACAAGCACTTTACCGTATTCATTGTTCAAAAATGTTGAAGGCAAGTGTGTTATTTAAATTAGTAGAGGTTTTCAATTGCTCGCAAATCTTTCTTACAGAAATATTCATTTTGAGCTGCAAAATAATTAACCTGCCAAGCCAACCCAATTCTTCTGAATTCAATAATGATATGAAATTAAGCAAATCGGCTCAATTTGTTAAAAAATTCTATAGAACCATCAACTGTATAAAACAACACTTGCTAACAAATATACAACGTGTGTGACCGATTAACAGCAAACTGTTAATTCAATTTTTGACGAATAATATTATTTATTTCCTTAAAACTATCAAATTTTTGAACACAAAATGACGTGGTCTAAGGAAGCTACTTTGTTTTTATTATAAGTTTGCAAATTTTATTTTATCCTTTACAATCGGTTAGAAAATAGTAAGTTCAATCAACAATAAGCCAACATTTTCTTGAGCTAGGTACATTATTGTTAAATATTCTTGAGAAATTCTACTTAAATATATAAAAGTAATATTATTTGTCCATTTATCGCAAATTAAGTAGTCAATTAATGATTTATGTAATTTTTTCTAAGTCATTATAGTTATTTGTTTTTTAGGATTCATGTGATGATGTACAATACCATCACTAAGATAAGAATATTAAAACCCCCATAGACTAATTCAAAAACTATGATTCATACAAATAAGCCTGTAATTATCCTTTTACAACGTTTCAAAGTCAATCTAGTACATGTGTTAAATAAGCAGATTGAACTAGCATCCAAAATGGCTTCAGCCAAATTCTAATATTGCGGTGTTATGTCACTCATCTCGACTGATAGAGCAGGTAGTTTATAAACAATCGTTTCATTCATGTCTAATCGTCCATGTTTCCCTTGATGATTGCCCGCCTTACAGGTGTTTATGTAAACTATTGAATCATCTATGTGGGACGGTCCTTCTAACGCTCTCCACTTTCTTATCATTTCAAACCTCTGGCCAATTGTTGAAACTTGACATATAAATCAAATAATAATCTAACTTTTCCTTTATCTAATTTATTTACGCAGATATGCAGGACTACCAGTTCCAGGCACACTTTTGCGATCCAGTGTATAGATCGCAGCATCTGCACTGTACCAAACAAGAGGGTGAGGTGGCTTTCACATTGCGACAGATTGGTACTTGGCTCACGCTGACCAACGTTTTCTGTCGCTGCCCCCAACCCACAGAGGTTTCCTCGGTCAGCTACGCTCACGGCGTCAGACCCACTGATTTGGCTTTCAGGGGCGTCTTCTACGAAATGACCTGCGCCCCTATGGTAAGCTCTTACCACTCAACCAGTATTGAGGAATACCGTCGTGTCACTAACAGTAGTCCTTTAGTTGATTTATTTACAACTCCATTAGATAGGGAATTCCATCGATACTAATAGTAGTAATTTGCGTTGGTGGAGCTGTAGCCAACGTACTCACGTATCAAATCTGAGATACTGCGATCGTTACTCACTTTTGCTCACTAATTAGTGCGGAGGGTCTACCACGTGAATGCTTAAATTCGCTCATCGCTAAAACCTGAAAATTCACTAGGATCTTTAACTAGCTGTTGAAGAATACAATTGACCAGCAGTAAAGAGAATAAAGAACATTGGAAGAGAGGTGCGTTTACTTAAAATATGTCGAACTACGAAATGTGAATATTAATAACCGATTAGCTGAACCAGCCTCTGCATGCACGATCGCACCAGATCGATAAGCGATTGATATCACGACCACACTCTCAATAAATTCCTTTTGTCAGTCCTGCCAGTGGTGTATACTCCACCAATAAACAGACGCTGTGTTCACATGTATAGTGTAGCAAGTTAACGATATTACTGCCGAAAAGCAAGTTAGCTTGTCTGCCTTGTAAACCAATACTCCGCCCTCATAAATGACTATGTTTAATACCTCCGATATCTTTCCAATAGGTCTTTCTACCTCACAAAGTATTAATCTCTAATGTGAATTGACAACCAATCATAGTGATTTATTAAAATTTTCCACAAATTGATCCCTTTTATGGAAAAAAATATGAGAAAGTGTAATTTCGTTTATTTAATAATATGGTTCAGAAAAATAGATATGACATTATTTATTTTTAATTTAATTTCCCAGTTTTATAGGTCTTTAAAGATGTTTTCTAACAATTAATTTTTTGATAATATTTTGCTTTAAAATTACATTTGGCACTCCTAAAAGGATTGAATTAAAAATTCATTTAAAAGTAATTGGCGCACTTTTCATCTTTGTGTGGATCAGTACTCCCATGAAATGATAATTAAATTTTTGAATCCAAAATCTCATTCTTGTTGAAAGGACAGAGAATAAGTGAATATTCTCTTCTTCTCATTTGGTCAAAGTTGACTTTGTGCTGACCAGTTGTGATTTACTGGTGTGTGTGGTCAAAGAATTTCTACTCGAGTCTCCAAGTGCTTGGTTATATAGATTTCTACAAGCCCGTCGTAGATCGAGTCTATTTGCTCTTTTATCCTGTTACCATAGATATAAACTTCATGAAGGTAGATGCAAATATCAATAAGAACGTCGAATAGAAACTTGGCAGAGTAAAACTGAAGAACCAAATGGCGTCGACAGCTTTTTAATACATCCCTCCCACAGCCTACGCAACAGGTGCCATCTTGACATTCGTTGCGTTAATGATAGAGTGAAGGGAACGACAATACTACTGACGGATTCTCCAAAAGTACATTGACCTTTTGACCCATGTTAGTTTAAGTTGTTTTGACAGAAAAGGGCGTTTTTTTCTGAAGTTTCGTAAGCCACTCAAAAGTCTATTATGTAGTATAGGGTCTAAAGTTATGCGAAAAAGCGGTGTTTGCTTTGATCTGATTCAGTACTTAGCTTCATAATATTCAGGTAATCTTTACTTTCAAAAATACGAATAATCTTTAAATAGAGGTGCTTTGCAATCATTCTTTGAACTCTTCGCACTTCTTTCTTCCGACTATGATGACCTCTGGAATGCTCCACCCCCCTTGAACTCTCCTCTCCTAAGTTTCGTAATTTATACTCATACCATCTGGAACAACATTAATGTTGGACATTATCCTAGTCATACCATTGTGAAAAAGGGAATTTGATTTCAAATTGTAACTCTAACGTGAGGAGATACTTAAGGTGTGGGTTTCACTTTATTCTGGGAAAAAATGGCACTTAAGCATTTTGGCAGCGTGGATGGTCTAACAAACACCAAATTAGATTAGCCACGAGACAGTTAACTTGCGGCAAGCCGCATGGAGAAAGATATATGGCTACATGAGACTATCAACATTCATGGCTGTTTGGTCGGCCAGTCCAGTTGCCTGCCTACTTTAGGCAACTGAATCACACAAAAGGAGCAGAACTGTTCGCCTCATAAATATGATTTGTTGAGGGTAAAACCAAGTGACTTTGGTGAAGAAACACTAGATTTATTGTCCTTAGGAAAACCTATGACTAACCCTAGTATTCTTTTAAAAATGGCAAAATGAGAACATTTCTGCCATTATGGCATTCAAAAATGTCATATTCTCCTTCTTTTATTGGCCCAAAGTTATCCATCAGTGTGTTTGACAGCTACACTTTATTCAATATGCACCTTCCTTATACATTTTCCAACACCCACTTTGGGAAAATGAATAGCATCACGAGGTCCCATCCCTAGTGGCAGACTTGAATTCTGCCAGATTTAATCGATGCTACTAACAATTCTGTCCACTGGATGTGCACTGGTGAGTGGACTTCTTAACAGATTCATCCGAAAAAAATAAAGTAAATGAGCTTTGTAAAACTGATATTGAAGGCTCCTGGTAATGCAAAAGTTGACCACCTCGTTTTAATTGAAAAAATTAAGGTTACTAAACTGGTTATAGTTGGGAGTAAACTAACTGGTCTCTCTACAGAGGTGATGAAAGTAAGTCTAATTGGCGACCGTCCATGCTACTTTCTGCGCTTGCCATATATTACTAATCAAATTTTAGGAAGTAGGTGGACTTTAGGAAATTAACTCACTTCATTCTCAAACATTTTAAACCAGTATTTATATATGACAGCAAGAATAGACAGCATACGCCAAAATTCTAAAAAGCTTCCATTGGGCCTTTGGTTAGCCTTGCTTCAAGCTAGTTTCTAATTAAAATTTTATTTCATTTTGGTTAATAGTAATCAGAGAGAGAAAGAGAGAGCCCATCTGGAAAAAAATTATTATTTTACATCTCCCAATTTTTTAGCGTGAATGCAGATCCGACGAGAGCTGTTTCATTGAGACACCAAGCACGGACGGTCTACTCTACGGAGGCAAGGTGATGTGTCAATGTCCAAAGAAAACATTCTGTCCCATCTACTTCATTGGCAATAAACGCACTGCTTACACAGACAGTCAAAACAGGCTCACGCACTACGGCATTAAATGCAAAAAGCGATCCTATTAGTAGGGAATAAATGGACCCACTTATTATAACACAAAATCCGATTTTTTTCTCCCCCCCCCCCACCCCCCACCCCC